TAAGTCCCATTATCGCGCGATATTTGCAGGGATATTTAACTAAAATGACAAATAATTTTGAATTGCAGACACGATTTTGCGATAAAGATCCAATTGTGTGTCGCATTGCGATTCAAGAAAAGAACATCGCGGTGCTTGCGGCATATCGCAAAATCGCACATCCTTAAATGTGCCTAGAATAGAGTCCCGAGTCGCCACGAGCGCGATTCACTCGATCTCCTGATCTTCAAGAGAGTTTTCAGATCCCGTTTGCTGAATGCTTCCTCGACGATTAAGAGCGCGCGCACGCACACATGCTCGTACAGAGAGAGAAAGAAAGAGGGAGAGAAGCACGCGCATGAACAACGCGCGTTCTTTCGCGAGCTCTTGCGGCCACAACGCAACTACGATGGCAGCGCGAAGTTCTACTTTGTGGCGTCGCGACCTTGAGCGATCGCGAACCTGTGTATGCCGACGTACACACACACACACACACACACACACACACGCACGCATGCACGCACGCACGCACGCACGCACGGCTCTAAATCCAAATCGCAGCGATCGATCGAGCGGACGGCCGGACGGATAGATGGATGAATGGATCCGGGGATTGCCCGTGTATACGAGATCCCGAACGATCCCGGAATCGCCGAAATCGATTGCGCGAGGTCACTCACAAAGGAATACGACGCGAAACGTTCTGTCAGGCGGAGCGTAATATCGTTATAGATAATTACGGTTACGACCAGATGTAACCTTGATCTGATGCCTTCCTACGACGGACGTAGCAACCCCGATCGAGCCGAGGTCGAGTTCCGTGGGCTCGATATCTCCACTGGAGCGACGCGTCAATTCGAAGCCACGTGGCATCCCTTAAAGGCCAAATCACACTAGCGATTGGCGACTGACGATTGACAGTTAAAGATTAGATTTTAACGAATCAACAAGCTTTAGCCTTGGTTCCAATTGGTCAAGTTCCAATCTTCAATCTCAATCGTCTATCACCAATCGTTAGTGTGATTTGGTCTTAGGATTGAAAATTGAGGATTGCGGATTGAAGATTAGATTTCGACGAATCAATGCACTTTGGTCTTGGCCTGCTTGGCTCCAATTGGTCAAGTTCCAATCTTCAATCCGCAATTCTCTGTCTCTAATCCGTAGTGTAACACGGGCTTTAAGGACTGGAGGGTCAGATTGCCTGAAAATCGTGCTTGTTCTCTTTCACAATTTTTTATGACAAACTGAATGAATATGCGAAAGTGTTATTTTGACGTTGATTATTTATACAACATGTAAAGAGAAGAAAAATATAATTCTGATGATCAAATTATCAATATAAGTGTACATACAGTTAAAATTTCATTAAAATTTATTTCGTTTTCCTTTTCAAGGTCGTCATTTTGCAATAATATCTTGACTCTCGGTGGTTCAATTAATTTTAAGTAGAAAATTTCCATAAATCGTTATCGTGTGAATCACTGACAAACTCATGAAAATATTTAATTTTGAAATATTAATTTTTTTACTATAAAAGAACGGAAAATTTAATAATATTCCATTAAGATATTTGCAATTTTGTTAACTTTTACTCAATTTCTATTATAATAGTTCACACGATAACGACCAGCTTAAGGAAATTTTTTACATAAAATTCAGCTTAACTGAACTACCGAGAGTCAAGATATTATTGCAAAATGACGACCTTGAAAAGGAAAACGAAATATATTTCAACTGTATATACCATAAACTTATATTGAGTATTTGACCATCAAAATTATAGTTTTCTTCTTTTTATGTATAAATACATGTATTTTTTGTATAAATACACGTCAAAATAACACTTTCGCATATTCATTCAGTTTGCCATAAAAAATTGTGAAAAAACAAGCACGATTTTCAGGCAATCTGACCCTCCAGTCCCTTTAAGGTTTGTCTATAATAAGCTTGGGCTATAAATTGAAGTAAGAAATAAAAATAATATACTTTGCTTATGCGCGCGCCTATACTCCAACTCTTCACATCGATAGTCTTTCTTTCGAGTAAGTTAAATATTTTTTTATGTAAGAAAGCTAGAATATAGGGGGAGAATATAAGCGAAATAAATTATTTCTTACTGCAACTAACAATCTTACTCAGCGTAGTGTAGACGAGCTTTAAGGCTCTCCTGATTCCTCGGGACTCTTGATTAAGCGAGATAATGCACGTCAAAAATTTCTGTAAAGTACGTCGAAATAAAAGAATATAAAAAATCCCAAAAAATGACACAATTGATTAAGCACACCTAAAAGATACTCCGCGAATGCTTTCTTTTTGCTTCAACAATCAATAAATGACCGTTAATTAACATGATATACAACCTTCCTTTTTAACTTATATTTCCTCATTATTTTGTTACGTTAATTTTGATTAGACTGTTACTGTTAAAACAAAAGAAAAATGTTCGCGGAATATTTTAGAAATGTACCTAATCGTTTGCAAGTATATTATTTTTTTAATATATTTAATTTTAATATATAGATTATTTAATATATCTTTTTATTTTTCGACGCACTTTGCAGTATTTTGGACATGCATTTCTTCACTCTTTTTTAACGTCATAGATCAAAACTGCCGAAGACGAAGGTCAAGAGCGTTAACCTTCGCGTACAATAAGTCTGAGATTTGAATGAATATTCGATCGCTCACCAATTTTCTTAAAGAACCTGAAAAAATTTCAAAGCAACACAAATCTGTTTGTAGATTTTGATTTGGTTGGGCTGTTATCTTAAACCTGATCTACGATATGCTTTTTGCTTTCTGTTTTCTTCTCTTAGTCTCTTTCTGACTTAAACCGTAAGTCAGAAAAATATTTTGAAATATCTCAACAAACAGAAAGCAAAAAGCGTATTATAAATTAGGTTTTATAACTGATTTTCTATATCTTTGGAAAAAATGTGTTCATAAAATGTTGATTTTCAACAAAGTTGTGGTATTTTAAAATCCAAGTCTAACTAGACATTCCAAAAAATATTACTGTACGCAGAGTGTTGAGCATCAAAACAGCTATGAAAATATTCCACGAAAAATTTCTGATCAGGATATTTCCATTTTTCCTAGGCAACACAAGATAGAAATGTAGGAAATAACGAAATTATTTTAATCGAAAATTATCCTGAGCAATTTCGTGTAGCTATTATTTAGATTAGATGTTGGAGATTGTGTGTAAGAATTGCGGGTTAGAATTTGAGGAATCTATTAATTTTAACCTCGAGTGGCTTAGTCCGATTGATCAGTTCCAATCTTTAATCGACAATCCTCAATCTCTGACATGGGCTTAATAATTGCCCAGACTAGATATTGGAGATTGAGGATTGCAGATTAGAGATTCAATGAATCAACTAATTTCGATCTTTAGCTACTTTGTTCTTATTGGTCAAGTTCCAATCTTCAATCCACAACTCTCAATCTCCAACCCAACATCCTCAATCTCCTAGTCTAACATGGACTTAATAAAATCGAATGTTAGAGATTAAAGGATATTGCAGACTAGAGATTAGAATTTAATAAATCAACTAATTTTGATCTTCACTTGCTTTGGATTCTTGTGTTTCAAGTTACAATCTTCAATCCATAATTCTCAATTTCCAATAGCTAACCTGACACAGACTTGATAAGACTAGACAATGAAAATAAAGGACTACAGGTAAAAGACAAGAAATCAATGAATGAACTAATTTCAATCTTGATTTTTTATATCTGAATTGGTCAAGTTCCAATCTTTAATCAGCGACTCTCAATCTCTAATAATCTCTTTAGTCTGATACGGACTTAATAACTGTTCAGAACAGATATTGAAGATTAAGGATTGAGAATTATAAACTACACGAAAAAAATATAGCTCTCTTTTTCATATAAATTCCTTCTAATTTTTCTATATCTCTAATGAAGATGTAAACTGCCAGTATGGTCTATTCTGTCAAAGAACATAGTAAATTTCGTTGGAAACAGCAAATTTTTTATGACAGAACATATCAATTCCTCAAATGTAAATAGTGCATATAAAATAAAAAATTATTGCGGAGAATATCGATTTATTCGGCTATAAAATTCTAGTGATTTTTACTCTATGCAGAGATTGGAATTTAATGAGTTAACAAATTTCGATCGCGGTTCTTTCCGACTTTATGCCGATTCGAATCTTCAATCGACGATCTTCGATATTGTTCTGTAATATTCTGAGATATAGGCTTCAGTAATGTAATCCCGTGCACAGGATTTTCGCCGGCGGGACGAAATTGCAGAACGCGCAACGATCTTATCGAACGTTCGCGCACGAATCGCTTCGCGTGCGCAACGTCACGCACATCTCTCTCACCCGTGCGCGCTGTCCCGGCTACGCACGCCCGGCCGAAATTTGCATCTGGCCGAAAGTCGCGAGAAACAATCCAACGTCTGCCAACAACACACGGCCCGCACCCGCGAACCGAGAATAGCCGCCGCGAATCGAATAGTCGGGGCGAGCTGTTACGACGGGTCGCGAGAAGCCGCGCGCGCGCGCGTTTCTGCACGAGGGAGGAGGAGAGTCGCACCCATTGATAAATATTGATCTTACAATTAATCGTGTGATAAAAAACGGGACCTTATCGACAGAGGAGAATCTGGCCTCTAGAACCACGCATCGCCTTTCCGTCACTCATCAATCCAACTAAACAAGATCTCCATTGAAATAGCTTCTCGCCATTTCTTCCCCCTGAGAAGTTCACCTCACCGGGAAAGAGAGAGAAAGATGTTTCTAGTAGCGCAAGAATAAGCTGTCAATAAGGTCTACGTTGTTCGAGCACATGGCAAATTTCGCTGAACATTGACTATTTAACATAGCTAATTTTGCCATACACACAGATGCATACTGGATTCAAGTTTTATCGGACAGATAAAGAGGGACTTCGTTATCTCAAAAGCGCGACACGTGCTTCGCTTTTGACGGAGAAGCGCAGCGCGTGCGCTCACGTCGCGTACGCGACCCACCCGCTCTGCCTTACCTCCAGTTTTCTCGATGATCTCTCGACCCACGGCGACTACGACTACGATCAGCCACGATAACAACAACGACGAGGCAGCGTCGTCTTCGCGCACCACGCACTCTCTTCACGTTCGTCGCACTCGTCAACTCGTCCGTCACTCCGTCCCGCTCGCACGTCCTCCTCCGTCGATCGCCGGCGCGCAACTGTGGATAATTCGCGGTCGCGACCGGCCTAGATATATACCGGCTATATTTAGCGCGCCGCATCACCGCGGCGCGCCGCGATTGGCTCGCGCTGACGTCCGCCGCCGCGGCGATTGGCCGCGAGCGCTCGCGAATACGCACCGCGCCGGCAGACCTCGGCCGACTCCGACGACTGGGCGCGACTTCTCGCCGCGGCCGCGACATTTGTTGACATGAAACTGTCAGGGAGAGTACGCGCTCCCTCTCCCTCTTTCTCTCCCTATCTCTGTCTTCCTCGCTCTTACTCGAGCCGCGTGCGTTTTCTAGTAGGCGTGCGTAGAGTACGCCGACATTGCCAGAAACGCAGTTCTCCTCTTACAACGCGAGGAATTTTTCGTTCACGACGGCCGCAAAGTGGACACAAAGTGTCGCCGACGCGAACTGGCGACCCGTTTCGAAAAGAATCGACTGGAACCTTCCTTCCTTCGTCTCTTCGCGAAGCACGGAACCGACTGCGGCTTCATTAGACAATTGATGGAGATGTAATTGGCTCGATAACATGGAATTAATTCTACAAACACGCTGTCGGCGGAGCTATCGTGAGATTACGGGACTAATGCGTAGATCAGAATATCGAGTGAACATCGGTATCCTTGAGAACATTATTGGTGATTTTCCGTCACGCGTAAAAAAGAAATAAAACAAAACGCGACTAATAACGCTAATAACACAATTGAGAATCATTACTGTTATGAATGTATGTGTGCGCGTGTGCATGTGTATGTATGTGTGACAGACTTACAATAATTATATTATTACTATTATCATCATTATTGTTTATATTTATTGTCATTATTGTTTATATTTGTTTTAAATTATTCTAAATTATTAATTATATTATTATTGCATAAGACCATCTGTAATAGATCTCAATTTTGACAGTTTGGTGAGCTACCAATTTCATCGTGTGAAGACCATCTTATAACACACACACATACCACTCTGTGCTCTTTAAGTTTTTTTAATTAAAATCTCATTCGTAAAGCAACAGTCGAGTTACTCAAATAAGTAAAGTACAGTCGAGTTACTCGAATTCGACCATTCTTTTATTCGTATAAATTTCGAGTGAATATTTACACTCAAATTGCGCTCAGAATTGAAGAATAAATCTGACGTATTCCACTCCGTCGCAGGAACAAATTCACTCGATCAACTGCAACATTCACTCGTACAGAGTCAGAATACATTCTAAAGTTTGAATGCAAACATTCACTCTTATGATTCCGCGTGACAGTATTTTCACTATCGACATTCTGCAGTAAAATTTTATACTCTATTCTGATATATGTTACTTATATTTTAAGGATTAAAATGTGCTATTAAAAAATTTGCTATATTACTACACACATACAAAAATCATTCTACTATTTATAGAAAAGCAATTACTCTGTTTACTTGCATTCTTTTACATAATAGTAATCTTCACAATAAAGAATATTTTCTAAGTAATAGTCTTAAAATATATTAATCACAAAATTCCAAGCTTATTATCATCTCTTCAAAAGAAGAATGTTTTCTCTTTTCAAGAATATCATAAAATTTTGTCAAAAAAAAAGTTGTTTCGATACTTTGTAGTAAGCAAATCAAATTTTTGTTTCAATTTAACATTCTTGATTGAAATGCTAAACTTAAGATTCAGAATGTATTTTAAATAAATTTTGTGTTGTAAAAGATGAGCTTATGATAGATTTGCGGATTTACAAACTTACGAAATACCTCAAGTACGTAACATTTATTTCAATCCAATATATATAGTTTTTATATGTAGTAGAAGTAGCTTTGTTTTCAATGAAATTTTCAAGAATATCATAAAATTTTGTCGAAGAAAAAGTTGTTTCGATACTTTGTAGTAAGCAAATCAAATTTTTGTTTCAATTTAACATTCTTGATTGAAATGCTAAACTTAAGATTCAGAATGTATTTTAAATAAATTTTGTGTTGTAAAAGATGAGCTTATGATAGATTTGCGGATTTACAAACTTACGAAATACCTCAAGTACGTAACATTTATTTCAATCCAATATATATAGTTTTTATATGTAGTAGAAGTAGCTTTGTTTTCAATGAAATTTTCAAGAATATCATAAAATTTTGTCGAAGAAAAAGTTGTTTCGATACTTTGTAGTAAGCAAATCAAATTTTTGTTTCAATTTAACATTCTTGATTGAAATGCTAAACTTAAGATTCAGAATGTATTTTAAATAAATTTTGTGTTGTAAAAGATGAGCTTATGATAGATTTGCGGATTTACAAACTTACGAAATACCTCAAGTACGTAACATTTACTTCAATATATATAGTTATATATGTATATAGTTAATCCAATATATATAATTTTTATATGTAATAAAAATAGCTTTGTTTTCAATGAAATTTATCATATTTCTAACCAAGGACCTTATTAACAGTCTATAGCGCTACTAAAAATACATATAGTAAAATTTTAAAGAATTTATATATAAAAAAAGAAACTGAAAAATATTGAAAGTCACATACTAAAAGAAAATAATATTCTTTCAGCATATAACGTCTCTCTCTCAGAAGACACCATAAACTTGTGAGCGAAACATTCACTCTTACGATTCCGAGTGCAGGTATTTACATTATTGCTTCGAGTGAATTTTTATTCGTTTCGAGTGAACTTTTACACCAAGAAATTTAGAGAATACGCTTTAAATTTTTTTGAATAAAATTACGCTCAAAAAATAGACTGACCGCTGAGTTAATCAAATTCGGGTGATTCTTCACTCATATAAAATGAATCCTACATTCTAAATCGTCGAGTGCATATCTTTACTCAAAATTAGAAGAACGAATTTGATGTATTCCACTGTTACAGAAACAAAATTCATTCTGATTGATGGAAACATTCTCTTATATGGAATCAGTACCCATTCTAAGCTTGAGTACAAATATTCACTTGTTTTACAACTTGGCGTGGCAATATTTTCGTTATTACATCGTCTCAATTTTCGTTCATTTAAGTGAAATTGCGCGCCAGGAAATTTTGGAGAATGCCTTCGCAACGATTCTCTAATTCACAACGAATTTTGTAATAGAGCCGGTTTCTCTTTTAGAATAATCCTAAGCAGGAGATAAAAAGTGTCGATACTCGATCCCTGAGATATCTTACAATCTAACGATAAGATTTCATTAAAACGTTTATCCCGCGCCGCTCATTAAATTTATCAAAAGAGAGATTTCACATTAGAATTTCATTAAAATATTACCACATTCACGAATACTGAAATTCCTCATTATTCATTTTGTCACCCTTCCTCTGGTTAATTTATTTCCCAATCGCGTGTTATGCGGTTTGATCTTGTAATTAATCGAATAAAAAAGTCACTCGAGGAACATTATCGATGGCGGTGAGTCTGTATGCCTTTGTGAGAACCGCATACTCTCAAAAGTACAATCACTGAAATGCTTATATACTGATATGCTTATATCATTTATAACTGTTATAAATGTTAGTCAGTAAATTTTCGCTGAAAGAATCAATTAATAATACCGATTGTTCCTATCATTAATATAATTTGCAAACACAAACATTATCATCGTACAAATCACGTAGATGCCGTTAATTGTTTATTACAATTAATTCCATCCGCCACAATGCATAAAGTTAAATTTAGCACAGCGTATAATAAATTTGTGTACTGTTGAAATCTCACTTTTATTGGTAAAAGCCAGTAAGATATAAAATGGACCAGTAAAATGTTTCCATTGAAAATCAATGAATATTCACTGATTATCGACGAAATATTTTTTTTACTGATTCAATCGGAAATATTGATTTATTTTAAGAGAGCAGTGATCATTGAATTATTCGCGAATTTGAATGATTTCGCGAATTTAAATGATTTTTCACTCATATAGAGTGAATTTTCCACTCTGCTCCTATTATTGATATACTTTTCAAACGCAGACAGTGTCATCGCACGCAAGACGCATAGAAGCCGTGTTAATTATATCGCCACGAGCACAGAAAGTTAGATTTGGCACAATATACTTGGTACACTAACCAAAATCCGTAAAATATGAGACAGTTTAGTATTTTTCTAAAGCAAATCAATAAAAATATTTCTGATTGAATTAGAAAAAGAACTAATTTACCGATGATTAATACACTGATTTTTGGTGAAAACACTTTACTGTTCCAGTTTACTGCTCCATTTTATATCAAACTGATTTCGACCAGTGAAAATAAAATTTCACTGTATATTACGTAATAAACAGATTTGTTATACGTTATGCTAAATCTAAATTTCTGCATTCGTGATGATGGAATTAACGACTTCCATGCACCTTGCGTGTAATGACACTGTCAATGTTTGCAAAACGCATTAATATATAGTCGTTACTATTAACTGGTCCAATCAGTGTAATTTTACTTATTGCAGTGCTATACTTCTAACTGAATTAACAGTTATAACTTTTCAGTGAAAAATACACATTAATTATACTTTAAAAAGTAAAGTGGAAGTGTTTCTACTGAAAATCTATGAATACTCAATAATTAATATAAATGAAATTCTTCTTTTATTAGTTTAATCAAAAACATTTTTACTTATTAACTTTTTGAGCCATTAGCCATTATATTGTTTCTATACACTGTCATAAATATAAGTAACTAAAAGTAAATAAAAAATAATTTGAATATTTAATTGTTAAATTATTATAAGCAAACAAGAAAAATAAAAAGGGCACTTTCTTCAGACAAAAATCTTTTTAGGACTTACTATCAGAAATCGATACATCAAAATATTAACGGTTTATTAAGGACAATATTAATTAACAATATTTTATATTTTTTTTAAGTTTTTGGAAGTCCTATTTTTTACAATAAACAATTTAAATATTGATAATATATTTGCTGCAAGCTGTTTGTCAGAAACGCAAATATCTCTTTACCATGTTAAGAAAATGTTATTTCCGGATTATTTGTTAATTGCTAAAAACAAGATTGCTAATTTTGAAAACTTATATAATCGCTATATTGAACTCACCATTTCGAATTTTAACTTTTTTATCTCAAATTCATGATTAGCCCGGAATATTCCATATGCCAAATTTGAAGAAACTTTACTGAGAAATTA